ACCTTCCCTTCCCTTATAAAAGGAGCTCGTGGTGATGGACAGAAGCAGAGAGTAACCACCACAGCGAAGCCCTGCCAAAATCGAGCCTTAGCCAGCCACCTTGGAGGAGGAGCAATCAAAAGGCCAAAGAAAGCAGCTCCGACCCGTTTGGTGCAGTAGAAGAAAGGCGGTCCAGAACAGATTTGTTTGGCACGAAACTTTGAGGATACGTTCTAGACCCACAGATCTACCTTTAGAAGAAAGCGGTTCATCATTTGGATTTGTATACTGAGAGTTATGCTTCTTTTCCCTAGACTGATGATTTATAGATCGAATATCCGAACTGCCATCTTTCGAGGCAGATTCCCGTCAACTTCCATCGATCTAGATCACCATCTCGGTGTTGTTGGAAATAGGATCCTTTTAGCTATCCAGTGCAACTTGAATCGTCCGATTTGAAGGTATATTGTGTGAGTTAACGCCATTTGAATCTGAGCGGACCAATATGTATAAATCCAGAAACCCAACTTTTTCTCAGTTTTACATCAGAAGTTGCGGGCCGGATTCTCGACGACTCCGATCGACCCAGAGGATGATCGTGGTACCGTTGGAAAGAGGACACTTCGAGGTTTCCATAGAATCTGATATTGTTCGATTTGCGTTATTATTCAGTGAGTTACAATCGTTTCTTCCCAAGCAAGCAGATCTATTAAATTCTGAGTTTATGAACCCTAGTTGCAGAACTGCATTTTTCCAGAATCTGAGTTGAGTTTTGAGGATACATTTCCGAACAGATCCGTGTTAGTTTGGTCAAACCGTGGTGGTTCCAGTGAGAGGACGTGTTAGGGAAGCCACCGGACTAGTCAGACCTGTCAGAAAAGATAAACCCTAGTTTGTACGGCTGTTGCTTATTGCCCAAGATTCGCCAACTTGTTAACTAGAAAATCCTAATTCTGCAATGACTTGTTATGCAATTCAACTCGAACCATAATCCGAAAACCCAAGTTTTATTTAGGAATTTCTTCTTTTAGAATGTTCTAATTTGGAAAAGTACTATTTCTGGAAACTTTCTATTTTAGGAAAGTTTCTATTTTGGAAAGTTCTAATACTCAAGCCTATCTATTGCAGTTTCCGTCCATCAACAGCAGTAACCATTTCTTCTGACTTCCATTTTCAACTGAAAGCAAAGGTGAGGATTGATTTATGAAACCTAAAGATGCATTAGTTCAATTAGTAATATTTATATGCTTGATATAGGGATAAGATGTGTTTGATGGTTGATGCTGATATTGATGTTGGTGATTGAGTATTGATGATTGATTTTTAATTAAGAGATATAATAGGAATCATTGATTGTACCGCTGACCGTAGTGTCAGTGTTGTTTGACGGCCTACAATGAGGGACAATTGTGAAGTTGTAGTGATCGAGAAAGGGCTGACGAGCCGTTGTCAAACCCTGTAGTGGGCGGTGGCACCTTGTTATATGTCAAACCCGGAATGGGCGGTGGCAAAGATTGAGTAACTTGGACGGTTGATCATTGGGAATGTGTTATAGATTTGATAGGATGTTTGATTTGATTTATATATTTAAATGTTGAGTTGGTTTGACTTCTATGTGAAATTACTAGAAATTCTGTGTAGGTTGATTGTTTGTGTTTAATTTTTGTATTTAGTATTTATATTATTATTTCAAATGGTGTTTCCAAAGGATCTCGCGGGCTCTTTAGCGCGCCCCTCACTGACTATTCTTGGAATACTCATCCCTCTTTCCTTTTTCAGGTGTGTGACTTGAGTTGAAGTCGGAGCGGTGCTATCTCTGGGAAGCATTAAAAAGGCAATTTAGTTTTATAAAGCTTTTAAAAGATATTTTATTTATTTTTATTTTTTTGTTTTAAAAAAAAATTTGGTTTTCCTTGATATAACGCTTCGATTTTCCCGTTCATTTTTAATAAAGAAGTTTTAAGCCTTTAAGACGTATTTATAAGTTTATTTCTACTTTGAAAAATAGTTTTAACACGTGAGAACCACTCTTGGCCGAAATAGCGAGATTGGGGTCTCTCAATTGGTATCAGAGCGCAAGGTTGCCAAGCCGGTTCTGTCTCGGAAGGCGGTCCTTTAAAGGTAAAATGTTTTCAAACAATTTTCGGGGTAATAGGGATTTTCAAAAAAAAAATAATAAATAAAGTACCACAGATCTTTTGAGTTGTGTTCTGCAGTGGCCTCTAAAGCTTGAAGATCTCATCCAAGTGTATCTTTTCAAGAATGGTGGGACCTTGATGCAATGAAAACGGAAGGAATAATCAGAATAAGAGTGCAGCCAACCCAGTAGATGAAGTACCAGCTGCTGCAAAAGAAAATATGGTTGCATGATGCCAAGGGACAGCAATGGCGGTTCGAGCAGTGAATGCTCCGGTAATATATGCAGCCGTGGGAGCAGTCGTAAGGAAGGGAATTCAGCAATTGCTCAAACCACTGACGGATGTTGCAGCTTAGTTGGATTTAGCGGTCCATTCCCCGAGGGATGAGGCCAGGTTAGCAAGGAGTTCTCATATTAGAGCAGCTGGAATTTAGCAGGCAAAAAAAAAAAAAAAGAGTTGAATGCATGAAGTCCGAGATGATCAAGTTCCAATCAGCAGCTCAAGAGATATAGTGCGCAGCGGAAGCGTTGGGATGTCACGATCAGACAAGAAGAAAGGAGGCTCTTCAGGATTGGTCGAAGACAAGTGGGGGAGATGTTAAGAAGTCATCCTCCAAATTCGAGGACAAATTTATTTTTAAGTGAAACAGTTTGTGACATCCCTGAACCCAAGTTCTAGCCAAAACTCATTCTCTCACTAAACCCATCTAAAATCCCTTAACCTCCATAAACCAATTCTTTAAACCCACCTAATTCAGCCCATTCTCTTTCTTCAAAAACCCTAAACATAACCTTCCCTTCCCTTATATAAGGAGCTCGTGGTGATGGAGAGAAGCAGAGAGTAACCACCACGGCGAAGCCCTGTCAAAATCGAGCTTTAGCCAGCCACCTTGGAGGAGGAGCAATCAAAAGGCCAAAGGAAGCAGCTCCGACCCGTTTTGGGTGCAGTAGAGGAAAGGCGGTCCAGATTAGATTTGTTTGGCACGAAACTTTGAGGATACGTTCTAGACTCACAGATCTACCTTTAGAAGAAAGCGGTTCATCATTTGGATTTGTATACTCAGAGTTATGCTTCTTTTCCCGAGGCTGGTGATTTGTAGATCGAATATCCGAGCCGCTATCTTTCGAGGCAGATTCCCGTCGACTTCCATCGATCTAGATCACGATCTCGGTGTTGTTGGAAAGCGGATCCTTTTAGCTATCCAGCGCCTCTTGAATCGTCCGATTTAAAGTTATATTCTGTGAGTTAACGCCATTTGAATCTGAGCGGACCAATATGTATAAATCCAGAAACCTAACTTTTTCTCAGTTTTACATCAGAAGTTTCTGGCCAGATTCCCGACGACTCAGATCGACCGAGAGGATGATCGTGGTACTGTTGGAAAGAGGACACTCTGAGGTTTCCATAGAATCTGAGATCGTTCGATTTGCTTCATTATTCGGTGAGGTACAATCGTTTCTTCCCAAGCAAGCAGATCTATTAAATTCTGAGTTTATGAACCCTAGTTGCAGAACTGCATTTTTCCAGAATCTGAGTTGAGTTTTGAGGATGCATTTCCGAACAGATCCGTGTTAGTTTGGTCAAACCGTGGTGGCTCCAGTTAGAGGACGTGTCAGGGAAGCCGCCGGACCAGTCAGACCTGTCAGAAAAAGTAAACCCTAGTTTGTACTTATGTTGTTTGTTGCCCAAGATTCGCCAACTTGTTAACTAGAAAACCCTAATTCTGCAATGACTTGTTGTGCAATTCAACTCGAACCATAATCTGAAAACCCTAGTTTTATTTAGGAATTTCTTCTTTTAGAATGTTTTAATTTGGAAAAGTTCTATTTCTGGAAATTTTCTATTTTAGGAAAGTTTCTATTTTTGGAAAGTTCTAATTCTTGAGTCTATCTATTGCAGTTTCCGTCCATCAACAGCAGTAACCATTTCTTCTGACTTCCATTTTCAACTGAAAGCAAAGGTGAAGATTGATTTATGATTCCTAAAGATGCATTAATTGAATTAGTAATATTTATATGCTTGATATAGGGATAAGATGTGTTTGATGGTTGATGCTGATATTGATGTTGGTGATTGAGTATTGATGATTGATTTTTAATTAAGAGATATATAAGGAATTATTGATTGTACCGTTGACCGTTGTGTCTGTTGTTTGACGGCCTACAACGAGGGACAACTGTGAAGTTGTAGTGATCGAGAAAAGGCTGACGAGCCGTTGTCAAACCCTGTAGTGGGCAGTGGCACCTTGTTATATGTCAAACCTGGAATGGGCGATGGCAAAGATTGAGTACCTTGGACGGTTGATCCGTGGGAATGTGTTATAGATTTGATAGGATGTTTGATTTGATTTATATATTTAAATGTTGAGTTGTTTTGACTTCTATGTGAAATTGCTAGAAATTTTGTGTAGGTTGATTGTTTGTGTTTAATTTCTGTATTTAGTATTTATATTATTATTCCAAAAGATCTCGCGGGCTCTTTAGCGCGCCCCTCATTGAGTATTTTTGGAATACTCATCTCTCTTTCTCTTTTCAGGTGTGTGGCTTGAGTTGAAGTAAGAGCGGTGCTATCTCCGGGAACCATTAAAAGGGCGATTTAGTTTTTATAAAGCTTTTAAAAGATATTTTATTTATTTTTATTTTTGTGTTTTTTAAAAAAAATAGTTTTTCTTGATATAACGCTTCGAGTTTCCCGTTCATTTTTAATAAAAAAGTTTTTGGCTTTTAATACCTATTTATTAGTTTATTTCTACTTTAAAAAATGATTTTAACACGTGAGAACCACTCTCGGCCGAAATAACGAAATTGGAGTCTCTCATATTTACAGGTTTTTGGAATTTTCTCTTATTTTATTTAATTCTTCAGTTTTCTTTTTTCTGATTCTTATTGGTTCATCACCTGCAAATATAAATAATTTAGGGCATTTTAAACTTTATGGGAGAAAACTCATTGGTAATATCTCAAATAAAATATGATAAAAATAAACATATATACATATATTGAGAATTTTGAGGTAACATAATATATATATATATATATATATAAATATTTATATAGTATAAAAATTATTATTATTTGTCAAACAAATAAGACTGTATTAAGTATGTCATTAATTTTCATGTGATATGATTTGACAATATATTATTAGAATTTTCTACAATATACCAGAAGTATATAAATTTATTTTAAATAATGATTACTTTTTAGTGTATTTGAATTTGTGGCAAACATAATATGTATTTATACTTAAAAGTAAAATATATATCTGCATGAAATGATATGAGTTAGGGTTTAAATAATTTAAATCAAAATTAATAATATAGCATGATAAAAATATTTACCTGAGTAAGATTATAATTCAGATCTCGAATGATTGAATTTCGATAGACTTCACTAAGTTGCATACCGGCGTATTGGTGAGAAGGTGGAGGGTTATTGTTTAAAAAACGGTCAAGAATGGTGTCAACATTAGGATGACCAAAAGAATAAATTTTTTGACTTGGTGAATACACAATAATGGCAGTTTCAGCATTACAAAGTGTGCAAAGCTCACTTGCTTTTTTGAAAAGTCCTGGTCTTCTTTTTGAAAATGTAACTTGAAGGTTACTTTAGTTTTCCATTTTGGCCATCTTTATTTTTCGACGAACTTTGCTTTTTTCATCATTTTTTGGATATTTAGAACAATAAATATAGATTGGTATTGCATAATGAAACATTTTGTGTATTTATACTGAAATATTGTATATCAGCAATTAATATTTGAGTTGTTCACTGAGTATGTTCAACTTTAATTTATTACAGTATGTTTTATCTTTGAATTTTAATTTTACCAATTTTGGAACATTTTAACATCTACATATTCCATTAATATAAGGTATGCAATTCATGTTAATTTGACTGAAGTGCTATCAATTTATTTTTATACAATGTATCTTAATCGAACACTAATAACTAATTGTGATACAATAAAAAAAAAACTAATTGTGATATTTGCATGTTTATTTGATACTGTTATAATACAAAAAAATCCGCTGATTAAATTTTCAATATGTTAGAAATATAAATTGAAAACAGATATTTGGAACCAATTGCAGAAATTATTTTGCCATTTTTGAAAGAAAAAAAAAACTTAAAAACTAAGTTAATAATATGTGATCAGAGTAAATGATATAAGATCAAGGGGGTATGATCTTATAAGGACAGGTGAATGGATGGAAACAAGCAGCTGGACTGAAGTCTCTTTCTACTTGTTCAAAAAATGATCGAAGTGGATGGTGATGGAATCAATCTGCTGGACTGAAGTCTCTTTCAGGTTGATCAGTGGATGGAATGGAAGGATGGTGGAATGAAGGACGTCACTCATCTTTATGGAATAAGCAGAGATAAGTCAAGAACTCAAGAGAAAGGCTTCTCACACAATCTCAAAGAACTCTGGTTTTTGTTTGCAATTCTGAAAGAACAACAAAAAGGGTTTTTCTTATTAATCAAGTGTGAGAAAATACATAGCTGAATGGAACTTTATATATGGTTCAAGCAGCTGAGGGCTTCCTTGACCAATTTATTACAAGAAGTAATGCAAGAATCAAAAAATACAAAATCAAAGAAAAATCAAAGCAAGAAATACAAAAGTTCATAAATAAAAGATTGCTAATTTTCAGGGAATTAGCTGTTGAGATCAAACAAAGATAAACACAAGGGATTAGTCAAAATATGATATAAATGATTCAAAAACTTACCTTGGTTTGCTGTGGGCGGATTGATAGATTTGGAAATCCGGTTTGATCTCTCATTTGCTTTGATTCAGCTCGGTTTGATGGAAAACAAGGTGGTTCCTTGGTTGGATGATATGACCGGCCAAGCTTCTTCATGTGAGTTGAATTTGATGTATGGACCGTCCTGCAGGTGTGTCTCATGAACTTGAGTGATGTGGTCTTCAAGTGTCTCATGTAAAGCATCCTTTGAAGTAATGGCGAGCATGTCAAGTTGGTCCGTTATTTCTTCAAGTGCTTATTAGCTTATTAGACTGTCCACGGCTTGATTATACTCTTCTTTAAGTCTCTTTGTACCAGCTCTTGTCCTTGGTGCAAACCTCATGGCAGGAATCACATCTTCAGGTTTGATGTCTGCATCAGTAAAACTTCTATAGTTAATAAATTAATAAACACAAAATAATATATTTTGGATGTGCAAAAATTAATAAAATTTGATAATATAATATGATAATGATTTTATGAAACTATTTATGTAATTAAATAATTTCAATAATATGAAATCTATAATTATATAAATGTATACATTTATAACTAAGATAATATACTAAAATATAACTATAATGTCGAATTAATTTATCTTTAATTTTATTTATTGCATCAAAAATTATTAGTGTTGCTTTCTGTATATACATCCAAAACTTGTGAAGAATTTTACATCCGATAATTACTTATTTACAAAAAGATATGTAAGTGACCTCGCACGACAAAGCACTCTGCAAGGTTAAAGTGATTTACCTGTTTTGTCACCATTACTCACATTTCATCATTGCTTATTTTAGTCATCATTACTCACCCAATATGATTCCATGCAGCAATTATCTCCAAACAAGATAACCCACCTTCAAATATATGTATTGCCCACATAATCTGTATTTTCCATATATCTATAGAACTGAGAGTTTATGGTCACATATCACCAGCTAGATACCAAACTTTTTTTTTTATATAGCTCGGGTAATCTAGTTCAACGGACACCATGAGCTCCGAGCCAGGTTGTGGAGACTTTTCTCCCTAGCTGGTTTTTTTGGTCAACGGACAGGCTCGGTTTTAAGAGTGTGCTGGAGATGCTTTTACACTAGATCCTACTATTTTTATCTATTTTCTGATACATTTTATGGTCCTAAATTTTTTGAAATCATGTAATTGAGGATCCTAAATTTTTTGAAATAGTGCAACTAAGTTGAATTTGGAACAGAGCCTAATTTTTGTTTGGGCCGGGCCTGTCAACGGGCCATGAGATTCAACTAATCCCGGGGCCAGAGGGAGCCATGTGAAAACCCATGTTTTACCACACGGGTGTGAGATGTAGTTTCAAGTGGGGTTCAAACCCGAGAGGGGTGCAATTAATATGTCCCTCCTAAATCTCGCCTCGACCACGCCCGTGTGGGCGCTAAATACCAACTTGTGTCTCATCTTAAGGCCGATTAGAATAACAGTGTCGTGCCTATTCACTAAAAAAAGAAAACAGTGGTTTGGGGCATCAAAAATTATACGAGGGCATACTTTCAAATTTTTATTTTATTTTCTATGAAATGAATTTGTTTTTTTCTTATATATGTACATCAAAAACCAAAAATTCAACTTTATTTCTTATATAATTTTCAATCTTTCTTTCTTTGTATTTGTTTATCTGTTTTGTTGTAATTTTTGTTTATAAACAATTTTTTCTTAAGATTTTGTAATTTACTTATTATAAAATATTTAAATATTTAATTATTGAATCCTCACCGGAGGAATGAGACAACAAGCGGTCGATTTAGGAAGCGACGATGGGTGGTTGGGGATTCGTCGGAGCTTCTACTAAGTGTTACTTTCCACGCATGGTAAACAGTTTGGATCTTCACCAAGAGCTCTGACATAGGAGTGATGGAGGAGGAAAGTGAGATGAGAGAGCGGAGGGGATAGAAGAGCAAACCGCTGAGGGGATAGAAGAGCAATGCTCGGAGGGGGACGCGAATTAGGTGGATCTGAAGGCTTTGGCAGATCTGGAGACTCCGACGGTGGAAGACTCACTTGCAGCTATGAAGCATAACTCATTGTATATTGAGAAGAAGCGGTGCTCCGATCTGTAGAACGCAGAGTACCGGCCGGAGAGATCCAAGAGACACGACACAGCTCAATATCACGAGGAGAGAAGACGAAGGAAAGGTCACCGGTAGAAACAAAACTTTTAGTCGACCCTTAAAAGAGGAAGCTGTGACTTTCAGAAGGAGGAGGATGGTCGTCTGAGGCTGAAAGGCATGTTGATCCTTTGTCGATAGCTACCGTGAACTTCGTGTCTAAAAGCGTTTTTCAGTTTGTTATCATTTATATTCTTTTTATAATAGGTTTCTGAATCGCTACATATTAGGTGATCCCCGCGCCTTTGCACGGGCAAATACATTGAACTATGACGTAACTATCTTTTTTGCTGGAGATGGCATCATCTTTGCTTGAGAATTCGGTGGCGTAACTGTGTTTCTTACACCAGCACCTTACAAAAAAAGAATCGTACATGTAACAACTCTAAAAATACAATATTAGAACTAAATTGATTTATTGGTTAAGCTAGATCGGTCAGTTAATAGTGAAACCTAGGTCATTGGGAGACTATTTATACTTTTTTAAGACTTAAAAGTCAGCTCAAACGAAGATTATCTGATTCATGAACTTTGTTGTAAATGATATGCCGAAATATGTGGGAACCATAGCTACATCATACTATTTTTACCGATTATTACTATTAAATTTGTAAGCTTCTCTATGAGCCTTTAAAAAATTATTGGATATTTGTAGCTCGTTCCAGAGTTGATGCAATCTGCAGTGCTAGAGTGAGAGTAATGTATATGATCGATCATTCTACTTGAAATGTCATTTCCTAAAGTAAAGTATATACACTAGAAAACATTAAAACAGGAAACTGAAAAAAAGAGGACAAATTCCTACAAACTCTGAAGAAAATATTCAACTCACTTTGAGGCATTCATCAAGCTCAACTACAATTATCTGAATCCATTGGTTTTTAGTAATAAGTATACTTTGGGGTCTTACTACAAACCAACGGAAAGCAGTGTTGTAAGTTGGCAAAGCATGGGGAATCTGCAAGTTCAAGGATAGCAAGAGTAAATTCAAGGTCCAACGACAATATTTTTCCTTCATTCGTAGCACGGAAAAAGTTAAAAGAAATTTTTATAGTTTTGTTTTGAAAACTACTTCATAGTGAACAGAATAAAATAAACTTTTCTTTCCATATTAAGTCATTGACCAGTAAGTCAATCTGATTACTGCAGTAATCACAGATATACAGGACCGAGATGATTTAGTTAGTTGATAACATCAAAAAATAGAAGAAAACACAATGACAACATATTTAATAAAGTGCTGTGAAATCTTTTTTCTTTATAACATCTCGATGCTCGTAATCAAAGATAACCTTTTGTTTTATTACTGCATATAGAAAACAGAAATAAAGGTTTAAAATTTGCAGTCAAAATAAATCAGAAATCATGTTTTCTTGCTCTACAATTGAAAACACTGAAAAGATTTATAACTTTGCAAGCAAAATGAATCAGACTTGATCATTCTGTATATGAGATTCAGCGTCACATTTTCTCTAACCCTCTTCATCGGTGGAAAGCAAATTACAATCTGTTAAAGGGGAAATGAGCACATTTTCTAAAAGGTTTTCTCTAGCAATAACCTAACCCCACCAAGACCAAGGAGACTATGTCGACCTAGCTCGGAGAAAAGAAAATCTCTTAAAGGATAATCTTGGAATCCGGGAGCATCAGATCAACACAAAGGATAAAGGAGAATTTCCATATTCTT